TAGCGAAGCACTCGTCACATGAGTAAGTCTTCATCTGCCTTTTGAGTATGTGCTTCACTGCCAGTGAATTCAAAGGGGGCAGCAGTGCTAGTTCCAAAGATTTTCTAGCTTCAAAGTTTTACTGCATTAGTTACTATCACCACACCAAGAAGGATGCTTAGCGTATCATCACCAAAGAGTATCTCCAGCTAATAACAGTTGAAAGTCTCCACCGATAATGCTGAAGCACGTTACACACGGTATAAAAGGCACGAAAAAACAACTCTCTTTTTTCACATCAAATTGCATCAGACCAACCATTCTAGAAGGAACACAAGAAATACTGGTTGTACTGCTCTGTCACCTGCCTTTCTTCAATCTGCCATCCTGTTGCTTCTTTTTTAGTGGGAAGAGCCTGATGACCAAGCCCAGACAACAGAAGCCTGGCTTTCTTAGCTAATCTGTTCAGCCATTTTCAAGCTGTGGTTCTGGGGTTCACCAGTCGCTTTTTGTGGATTCTCAGAAGAGGACCCAGAAAAGCAGGTTCATACACACTACGAAACAATCGTTTTCAGCATCATAATCTATGTCTGCTATCACTCTTGGTTTCCTTATGATCAGTAGCTTTTCTTCTAAATCTTGTTTTCTTTTTTAAAGCATTTTCTCCTAACAGTGGTCGCTACATATCTTCTGTCATTACCTTTAGTCTACACAACTCAAACTCTCATCAGTTCTGTGATTTCCTCAAGATGTAGTTCAGTTGAAGAGAAAAAAACAGAAACAGCAGAAAGAGACTTCCTGCACTTCGGGCACACATTTCTGTATACATCTAGGTCGCATTCACGCAGGTATGTTTGTGTTTGTATTTGAGTGGTTTTCTCAGAACCTGCCCACTAAGTGGGCACTCCACTGCAGAGGTAGGCAGAGGTTTTTAACAACTGTCAATTCCAGTAAAAAAACCCCATATTCTGATTACAGAAATGTGTTCGAAACAGAAGTGAGGAAGTGCTAAAAGCTAGGTTGAGTGAAATCCTTATGAAGACCACATAGAAGCAGAGAGCAATATGAGCCTGCCGTGGATGTGCAGCACTTCAGTTAGTAGTTTAAACATGTCATTGGAAAATGCAGTGTTTGTTACCAACAAACGTGTTACCAACAAACTGTAAATAATTTGTTGCTTCAGCTGTTAAGGCTTTGGTTTTTTTCTGGTTCTGCCCTTTCAATTCCTCTATCCCCTCCCACATACTGCTATTTTTATATATAGTCAACACTACCAGATGTCACTTTGTCACCTGCCACCAATACACCATCACCCTTTTCCGATGAGGTTTTTGCTACTTCTAATCTTTAGCTTATATCTAAGGTTTCTGGCATTAGGAAGTAGAGAAAGAGGTGTTAAAAAACAAAGTCTGAACTAAGACTCCATAAATGTAAACAGTTCTTCCATCATGTTTTTAGTTTACATGATAAACTAAGCTAAATAAGCTAAGGGAAACTAAGCCATATATGCTGATCTATCTCTCTCTCTCAAAAAAAAGATAAATAAAAACAAATAAAAATTTCAACTATTGAAAAGGATACCATTACCCTGCTATGTGACAGGATTTTGTATGTTTTTTAGCAATAGAAAACATGTATCATTTGAAAGACTGATAGGATTTGTGGAAGGTGGAAAAGGTGATTTGACTTTTTTCTTCTTTTTGCACTTTATCACGTGACTCCAGTGTTCTCAGTCCCAAAGAACAGCGTCTGTCAGAATGATAAATATCACTGATAAAAAATGAAATATAAACAAAAAATGAAATATAAACAAGTTTGTAGATGGAAAGAAGAATTAGGGAAACATCTCTGGGCTGCAGAGGGATGCATGAATAAAAACGCTTTCAAGATGCCTTTTTCAAATATTTATCCAATTACCATTGCATAAATGACCAAACAAATGGCCCACTGTCTCAACATATAAAAATAATTCATTAAGACAATGACGCTTGAAGGGACAGGTTTATTACATCTCCTACACCTTTTCATTTCTGAGCCGGTGACCAAAGCAATAATTAAAACCTTAATCCAGAAAACATGTACAGCAAATTTAGTTTCAGGTTCTGAAATGAAAAACACAATGTATTTGTGCTGTTAATTAAAACATTATTTGGTTCTCCTCCCTTCTCACACTCCGGGTGATTCTCTAACCTTGCAATGGCATTTTCCATACAGTAATGCTTAAAAAACTACACTAAACACAACATAATCCTAAATAATAATTCATTTTTAATTACATGGTATAGAATACCTTGCAAACAAAAGACACTCATTAAGATTTACTGACAGGTACTGTATTTTTTGGCAACCGTGGAACAAACCAGAAGTACTGTATTTTTTGGCAAACCTGGAACAAACCAGAAGAAAAAGCAAAGAATTATTCTGTAACCATGAGGGAAAGAAACGTCCATCTAAATGTAAAGGATTCATACGGCAAAACTTAAACTAAAGAAAAAAATCCACACTTACAGTAGATTTTTTTTTTTAATTCTTAGTGCAAGAAACATAACCAAGTTAATCACAGAATCAGTACTAATTAAGAATATGGAAAATTCTCCTATACAGAGGTAGAGTCCAGTGCACAAGGCTAAAACGATATTCAATAGTCTAAACAAGACCGAGCCAGGTTTTACGGAATCCACTTTTTAAAGTATCAGACTGTATGTACATACATACAATAAATAGACTATACAATCTTTAAAGTAGTTTAATAAACTTCACAAAAATTATAGTAGATGCTTTGAGATCTTTACATAATCCAAAGTTCGTATCTCCATCACCCAGAAATGGATAAAACCAATATTCCTGATATCAAGTTAAATGGAAAATAGTTTAGCAAAGTGTTGATAAATCAAATTATTTTACATATTTTAAAGCCTAAAGGTATGCTTATAAAGGATGAATTTCAAATGCTCTGAAAATGTTCCTTTTGATACTATCTGTAAAGAGGTTTCAAATGCTGTACTTTGCATTTGTATTGTTATAAACACTTGCCTTACATTCCACGTTCAAGGGAAAAATGGACTTGGATACTCACAGTTCTGATGCATTGGCACAACAAGAAGTGATGAGAATTAGATTATTTTAAAGGCCAAAAGGACATTAGAAGAATTTATGGACAAAACCTTCATGTCTCAAACTACACAAATCACATTAGAAAGTTAACAGAAAACTGTTTGGTATTACTACTTCAATCCTGTCAGTGCCTCTCCGCCCGGAGGCACCCGATTAGCATTGCACTGGAAGTCAAGTGTGCATCTCTGGGCCCCTAGGTTTGCTACAAGCCCATAGGGCTTAATAAAACAAATACAGAATCTTCACGGTTTACCACAGTAGTGCATAAATCAGGGACATTTGTTGCCATTCATTTCACTGATAGATGCAAAGAAAGGATTTCAGGGAACTGAGAGTTTTCAGCCATATCTTTCT